TACACGAATAGGTCTACTGAACTGCATTTGCTGGGGGTGCATTCAGATTCCCGAATATTCGCAACATCCTCTGCAACCCTTTATCACCCTTCACATGAGGATTTCCATTAATTCACCCACTCAATTTTAAGCCTGGGCCGAATATTTCGTATTTATGTACACAATAGAGAGTACATTTCCACCCCACTTTGTCTACTCTACCCTTCTATACACGAAAAGATGATAAATCTCTCATTAAACAGACTATTGTTTTACGCTTGTTTAACATTTATAACAGCATAATAAAGTGATATTTTATTCTCTTGGGAATTTAAGCATATGCCTCAAACACCTACGCGTTGTAAATTTCATTTTTCATGTAATGAATGATAAAGATATTGAAATGAAAATTATTAGATTATTCTCTAATGACAGGATCTCTAAAGCTATGGCGCGTAAGGGTTCAAATCGAACGCAGCTATAAAATAATTTGGGATAAATTTGACAGTTCCCTGCTAAAAAATGATGAAATCATGTAATTAAAACATGTTAATCACGTAATGTGTAATGTAAATCACATATAAATTTAATTTACATGTAAGACATGTAAATCACGTAACCAAATCAGTATATGATTGTTTAAAATGATGTAATTTGAAAAATCTTTGAAAAATCACATGATATAAATAATTTCATCCATCATGTGAAGTTAATTACATATGAGATTTTATCAAATTTTAAAGAATTGGATGATAGAAATAGAAGAAAAAATCACGTAACTTTTCAAAATACGTAATTTAAAAATCACGTATTGATTTAGAACATTGAACGTGATTTACATATTTTAATTATATGATTTTATCATCCAACTATATGATGTGATTTGTTTCAATAGAGTTTACTCCATGTCTCGCGATGTACATCGTGAATGTTTGGCATTTGATTAGCGCTTAATATGTGGCGTTATTAATGTGCCTGCAATTTACCGAACGTGTTATCGCTTACATCGTTGGCATTAAACTATGTAGACACGGAGATAATTCGTAAACTGCAATTTCCTTGAAAAGATATCTATTGAAGAAGACAGGCTGTAGAAACCGCAAAAACATATTATCAAGATTTTAAAACAATTAATTTTATGATAAATCCTATTATAAATAAGACATTAGTAACCATGTATAGATATATAAATACTTCTGCTAACAACAAGCTATCTGTTTTTAGAATCTAAATATAATACATTAATTAAGCGAAAATACATAAATAAAATAAAATTTAGGAAATCAAAGAAATATAGGCTCTAATGATAATAATCAATGATAGTTAAAAAGCCTGCTGAGAACTAACTCAGTTGTAGTTACGAATTATAATTTATTTTCCAATACACACATATAAAATAAATTAAATAACATAGATGTTTCGATCCGAATTTTCGATCCTGCTCAATATTAATATTGAGTAACGAATGAAATATTGTATTACATAGACATTGTTCTGTGAATCGTTTGAAATGCGTTTCCGTCGTCAAGATATCGCTTAACATCAAGAATTGTGCTTAGGACAGTCAAGATATCACTTACATCGATATCTCATTATGTTCATGACCTACGTACACGTAACATCAATATTCATAGCAATCTGAAACTATCATTAAACCAGGAAGTCTAATGACGTTTCTGTGCACAATTCTCGATGTAAGCGATACCTTCACTGTTCTAAGCACAATTCTGGATGTTAAGCGATACCTTGACGATACGGAAACGCATTTCAAACGATTACAGAATAACGTCTACGTAATATTTCATTCGTTATTCAACGTTAATACTGAGGAGGATCCAAAACTCGGGTCGAAATGTCTATGTTATTTAATTTATTTTATACATGTGCATTGAAAAATAAATTACAATTCGCAACTACAACTGGCGTTGGCTCTCAGCAGGTTTTTTAACTATCATTGAAAATTTAAGAATGTATATATATCATATATATGATACCGTATTTTCCAGCTAATAAAATAGCTTCAACATAAAGCCTATCATCTGGTGTTTTTCAGTAAAAAAATTTTTTTTATATGTATTGGAAAATAAAAAAGATAATAGCTTTGAAATGAAACCCATCATCCTTCATCGGTGAAAAAAAAAAAAAATTTTTATGTTGAAAAAATACAAAAGCCTACGGTTATATTTCCTTTGGCTATATCCAAGCAGAACAAACAAGTCATAGTGACATTAAAATGACGTTAAAATGACAACAAAATGAATCGTAACGATATTTTAGAGTCATTTTTGACATTATTTTGATATTAAATGACTTGTTATTCTGCTTGGATATAATGCCATTGTAGCTTTATGTTTAACGAACACACCGTTGTGTTTGCTTATCCTTTATTCATTTTATTGATTCATTAAAAGTCGATTAAAAAATGCAAAAAAATTATACCACCGACGAGATACTATTAAAGACCCTCAACCCTGGACATTTTTCATCCATATAAAAAGGCTCCGAGGAATGAAGATAATTGAAAGAACGCTGACATTATCGACAATTGATATAAATTTGCGATTATTTGGATAATATCATTAAATTGATGATTTTTTAGTATATAAATATTCTATAAATAAGTATGCAGACTTATAATGCCTTATATATTGCTGCAAAATTATTTTTTTTCGTTCTCTGTATCATCTCGTCGGTAATTATACATAAAAGTAACGACATCTAGCGCAATACCTCGGAAAAGAGATTGTTTGGTAAATCAATAAACTCAACGGGCAAGTCAATCATGTCATATCGCCACGCTTTACCGCGTGTTCGTTTCGCATCGTTTCGTTTGTATTTCATAATTAACGAAATTCGTTTTATCAACGAGGCGACAATCGACGCCGTTCATTTATTCTTGTGATAATGAAAAACTGACAACATTCATGCGTTCAGCAAAGTAATATTTATAGTGCTCCACAAACTTTTGATAATAATAACAAATCTAACCTTCACGAATTGATCTCTGCGAATTTGCAATCACTTCGATGTCGAATGCCTTTATCACGAACTCTTCTTACGATCGCGCACGGAACAATGAATCATTCTGCAAATACTATGTCCAGAGAATTTGAAGTTGTTTTGGTGAGGACAAGCGTATAAGCGGAGCAGAAGAAGAATGCCAAGCTGCACGAGTTTGATCAGATTACTTAGACGACGTCTCGTTCTTGGGCTCATCTTCGCTTTGTCATTGACATATTGTGCCTTTTCGTTACTCCGCAATGAAAAGGCAGGTACATTTATATACTTGAAGTCACATTATAGTTAATAATCTAACTACGAATCTTTGTGGATATTATTATAACTTTTATTATAAGAGATTTTGTCATTTTCTTTACAGAAAAGGCTACCAAATCTAGATAACAATTTCGATATGGATCCTATGATGATTAATGATAACAATGAAAACATGATACCTGATGATAATCTGCTAGAAGAGTTAAGAGCATCCGATAAGTCTCCATTATGGCAGATAGAAATACTGGATCAAGCAGCTGATAACGCAGGAAATATAGATGCATCTAATTTAAATGAAAGCGACGCTTATAATCAGTCTTGTCGTAATTCCATTCAAGTGAGGATTTGTATTAATATATTGACTGCCCAAATATGAGTTAACTTGCAGTTAGATACCAATTATTCACTGTTTTTTAAAAATAATTTTATTGTGAATTTTTTAAATAAAAAATTAATACAGTTAAATATTAAAATAATATAATTAATTATATTATTAACTATATTATTATAATAATAATATAATTAACATACTATAAAAAAGACAAATCTAGTTGTACAGTGGCAGTCGAAATTTATTCCGTTTATTTTGATGAGCATCTTACATTTTCTTAGGGAAGAGGCTTGATAGTTGATGATCATGGTGTAGTATGTTCGAGACACGAAGTGCAATCGAATGGATGTTGTGCGGAAACAGAAACAGAGCAGAAACAATCTTCAAAAAATGAAGAATCATTTATGACTAAGAGAGAAAGGTATAGTTGCAAAACATGCAATTCTCAAGGTTGCTGTACTATTTACGAGTATTGCGTTTCCTGTTGCTTACACCCTGACAAGGTGAGTTTTTATTGATATTAGTTTTCTTTACAATATTTAAAGCACTCAAACCATATAAAATATATATTCAAGAAAGAATCGGTATTTTATCATGATTTAAATTTATTATAGCAAATAAGAGGTCGGAAGGACTTATCATCAGGCTCTGCAAAAGTACAAAAAAACGTAGAGAGAACAGCTGTTCACTTCCAGATTTGTCTGGCCGCTTGTCGCACTTCAAGTTCCAGTGTGCGACGCGACAACACTTACAAGGATCCTCTCGCGAAATACTGTTACATCACACAACGATATCGCCGTAATATTAACTCATTAAATAATAACGGCGACAGTTCCGCCGTTGTCGTTACTTCTTCTTCTGTGGTGATGTTATTCACTTCCTCTTCCGAATCTTATTCCTGTTTATTCAATCCTACATTATCTATGGTTTTATGCTAATGTTATCTAATTATTGTTTCATCGTAGAATAATAGCCTTGTAAAAAACAAATGCTTCTAAATTAATATAGTTAAAATGTTTTTAATATGATGAACGGAGACCGCGCACGAGCGAGGATTTAAAACGCCATATGTCCGCGTATTCTATCTCTATATTGGGATGCTTTTTCTTCAATTCGTTTAAAATCTCGTTCCTGATGACTTCCTGAACCGGGTCATCCTATTGCAAGAACGTGAACACATTTTATTCGTTACATTTTTCAGATTCGTATTTTTATTATTCATTCGCGATAATAAACTGGTACTTATTCTCTACGTACATCAACAATAGTACACTCTGCTGCTGCGTAATGACAGGAAATCGCCTTTCTCGTTCTCTTGGATTTATTAATGCCAGATCCGTGAATGAGCAACGGATGAAAGAATACTGTGTCGCCGGGTTGCATTTCAAGATTTATCCAATTATTAAGCATCGAAGGTAATTGCTAACAGAAAAAAATTAAGCAATGATATGAAAAAGTAACATCTCGATAAAAAGATGTATTGAGGAGATATCTTACATATATTCCATGATAAAACTTATTCACCACTCCTTCCGACTCCGGAGGATAACCATGCGGACACAAGTTCCCTAAAGTATGTGATCCAGGCGCTACATAGAGACATCCGTTTTTAATATTGCAAGGTTCCATGGCTGTCCATACACCTACTATATGATCGGCTGGTCGTAACGGGAAGTAGTACAGATCTTGATGCGGTGGGTGTCTAAAAGAATATATCCTGTTCTTTCCATGTTGCATTAAATAATACTGGCAGTATTTTAAGATTTTTGAATGATTACCTCGAACTTCCAAATCCGCTATCGGGTGGCTTCACGATGAGCATACTATGTATCGCCATGATGTTTGGTCCCGTAAAACACTCGATTATGTCAAGAATTTTCTTGTGTTCGGTATATTGACGAAATATCGGATCCATATGCATATCTTGTATTTTAGTTAGCGCTTTTCTGTCCTTCACATCGTACATTATTATCATCGTAGCTTGCTGTGACTTTCCTTCGGCGATTTCGTTACATCTGAAAAATAAAAAAGAACTTTATGAGTATTCATCCCAAATAGCATACACTTCATTTGAGGACGTAGACGTCCTCTGGACATTTTTAACATGTTTCCTGAATGTGCTGCGCATATACTACAGTTGGATATATTACAGCTTTTAATACAGGGCCTTTGATCCTTTTTTGACATGCAAAAATTTCGATACCATTAATTAGCTGTTGAAATTGACACACGTGATCAATACCCGTAAAAACAGAGTTTCGTATCTGCAATTTATTGTATGCCGACATTTCAGATAATATTGAATAATCGGTCATCTGTAATATTATAGCTGATCGTAATATTTGCGCACACGTTAATAGTAGTCAGTAAATTTACTGAAACATCGAACATTTCAATAACACTGTTAGATTATCGAGTTACTCATAACGTAGATCATCCACAAAATTATTCCGATTAATATCTCCGCAATAATTTTTACTTTAAAGACTTTTTAATACCCACGCATATCTGTATGCGTTGAATAAACATATCATTTTATACGTTTTGCAATGATAAACAGGAAGCGAGCAACTTTTATATGTATACATATTTGACATACGTGGAAAGTTTTCTTCATATAAAGTCATCTTCATATAAAACTAGATTTTTAGAAATTCGCTTGAAATACTTAAAAAAAAAATGGTATTGTGATATATGGACATTCGATATGTTTTTTTTTTATAAGTTAAATATACCTTTCGTTACATTTGTCGAGCACATCTTGTGGTATGAGGCGGGGAAATATTAGAAAACCATTCTTCTCGTAAAATAGCCTTTGTTTCAGAGTAAGACGATTGAGGACGTTTCTTGTGTAGCGCAAATTTAATGAAGACATTATTGAATTTTTCTCATTCGATGCTTTTAAAATCCACTCTGCTAGTCTTCCGTATTGTACTTATCCTGAAATAAACAAATTTGTTTGATTAAAAAGAATCAGATTTTTCGTAAGATCGACTATTAATAAAATATTTACTAAAAATATAGCACAGGAAAGATTTTTTTTTAAACAAATCTTTATTAATTTATTTGAAAAAGAAACGTGTATGTAAGAAAAAAGGGAAATAGTGATGTGCCATCCACATCTGTATTATCATTGATGAGTATCGATTCGACACAAGAGCCTATCTATTTATAAAATCGTTCAAACTTGTTTGGTCATGTCACGTATTCCCCAGAATTTTCATAAATTGTCTAAATTTAACGAATATGTAGCATGAAAAGGTATCATTTCATCTTGGTTTTTTTCGCAACTTCTACTTTATAAATATTCATCGTTGAGGGAATATCATGTTACGCAGTGACTTTAGTAAGCATTCCATAAAAATTCATAAGTTTATAGACTAATCATAAGACTCGATGGTTAAATATTTTAACAGTAAAATCTTTTTACGTTCTACTCGAAAAAAAATTTGATCACAGATTTTTTTACATAATAACGCACATATATAGTTTAGAAAATTTGTTTTAATTTTAAATTACATTACATGCGTTGCTTCGATTGTACTTTTAAAATAATGAAGCAAATATTGGCATTCCATCGTCGACTTTGGGCGAACAAAAAGGGTAAATCGGTATTTTGTGAAATGAGTTTGCAGAAAATTGATCCTGGTAGAATTTAAAAAAACTGAAAGGAACGTTACGAAAATCGGGAAATGTCTTTAATATTGTTAGATTCCGCAGTGCGTCGATTGTGCACTCGACTCGATTCACGTACTTATACCTGTCGGAACAGATTACACGCTGTCATGTTCCTGAATGCATGTTCATACGAAATTCAATAACCGATCCATTAACTCTACACCTCATTTGAAAATACAACCAGTCTACGAATTATCTGTGCATACGGATTACTGATAAGCACATTGACGCAAAAAATCCTTAATAAGAGAATAATGCAACGATTAATCGAAGAGAACTTATGATATCGTTAATAAACTATTTGCAAAATTTATATACAATATTAATCGATAACGAGCTATTTATGAATTCGAAATTTTAAAACGGCGATCATCAACATCAGAAGGGAGCGCAGAGAACATAACATTCTGAAAAAAGAAGAGAATTTATTTTATAATTCAAATTCGTTGAATCAATTATTTTCATTTCAAAATGATGAGTAAATAATTCGCGAGAGAGCTGGAGAGAGCTGTTGATCTGAGAGCGAAACCACGATTCTTGCACCCCGGAAACACCAATTGCGCGCGTCGATGAAGCGTCACGACGCGCCGACGTGGTTGCTCTTACCCGTTTCCTCGCTCCCTCGCTCCCTTTACCCGTCGACTTTAGCACGTGGCATCAAAGAGAAGGATATACATCGGGGTGGTCGGCGGTCTTCCCGGCCAAACGGCGACGACCCTCGCTCGTCGTCGTTCATTCGCGCGCGCGGATTCGAGAGTTCTTTCACTGAAAGTCGATCGTAATCGATCCCGGCTAGTTATCTTGTCAATTCATGCGAATATTGAAATACCTTGCGACGCGATTTAATTAATTCCGAATTGTAGTTTTAGCGTTAGACAATTCCGCTGTGTGAGATCTACATTGCTAAATTGCCAGAAAGATTTGTATCATTGTCTTCTGAGATCCTCAATATCTTACCGACAAAGAAACGAACATGACAGTCAATTGAATTTATTCCCGAAACAAATTTTGGGATGGATATTTTGTCAGGTAAGCTTGAAAAATTTCTATTATAATAATTTAAGATTGAAAGAGTCAAGACGAATAAAGAGGGTATAAATGAGAAAAAATTTGTATTTCCAAATGTAATCAATAATGACATTTAGTTTAGACACTTTTACAAATTTTTTTATTCAAACACCGAATATCATAATTATCATATAATACATTTTAAAAAGTATCAAAGTATCAGTGTGCAGATGTAACACACCATGCGGTATCTACTCAGGTAGCAAGCTGATGTTAAAAAAAAACGTCAGCTTGCTACCCAAGTAATTCTCGCTATATCGGTGTTAATATTAACACCATTATGATGTAAATTTAAAATTTATGATGTTAAGTCCACATCATGTTGGTGTTAATAAGTAAGAATTATATAGACATTGTATGATGTCAAGTTCATCTCGATATTTTTTAGAGTGTATGAATTATATAAAACATGTATATTTTACGTACATGTTATATGGCAGTTATATTTATAATGGGTATCTGGTTGAAAATTGCTAGAACTTGCCAAATTAATTTAATTTAATAATAATTTTTTCAACTCATTCGTACAAATTCACAAAGAGGATTAATCATCAGTTATACAAATGACATGGTAAAACGAACTTGATTCTATTTATTATGAATAACGAGTTATCTATTCTGAAATAATTATAATTCAATGTTTAAAATTATAATAAAATGGAAATGCCGCGTTAGACTTGTGGCGTTTTTAAAATAAATGGCTCTTACAAAGATAGGAGAATCTTATCTGCTCTTTCTGATCGACGTCCATTAACTCGACAATTTATTTTGTAAAAATTTAATTCAGTGACATGGCAGAGGCGGAATATATTAACGCATCGCGAACCACTTCGACGCTCGCTCTAAAGATGTATTTTTAGCGAAAGCCTACGGCGCATACAGATTAATAAACATTAACGCGAACAATAAGCTTCTCCTACAATAGTACTCTAGAATATAAGAGGTCGATATATTCCGCACCCCGTTCACGATAAAAATTAATACGCAATTTAACAGTTTCTACTCGACGAAGCATGTCTCTCGCGTTGTTTCGTTCGCCATCCATTTCGACTTCGATGAAAAATTTCATTCGCCGTAATCACGCAGAGGAAATCCTATTTGCGGAAACGAAAGCTCTACGCCGTCGATGTTGTCCCCTAAGCGCGACATAGCGATTAATTTCTCAAATCGCCTTGGAACGGCGGAAGTCCTCCTCGAGGGAGACTCTCGGCGATGGAATCGTCGTCCGTGCGTATATCTGCGAGAATAGAAATGAGTTTACGGAGGCAGGCAGACAAAATCGATATACATCGTGTTAATAATGAAGGAGCAAGGTCTATAACCTTCCGCAAGTGAGTCGGATGAGTCGGAATCGACCTTTCTCGCGAGGGATATAAAGACACTTGTTGTCTCTCCTTCTCTCTTTCTCTTTTTCACCCTTTCGTTGTCTTTATACATGGCATTTCCGCGGACATAATCAGCCTTTTGTCTACGCAAGTGCGCGACCTCTTTTTTTTTCCCTCTGTGAGTGGCGCAGCAACTATATTCTCCCTGGCGTGCGAAAATTCTAATCCCACTCGGTGCGAACTCGCGTGACAACTCATCCGATTTGGTTGGAAATGTCACGAATCGAGATAAATGTCGGTTCATATGGATAACATGCGTTCCACCTCGTATTCGACTTTTTACGACAAATATATGATTGGTAGAGGATTAATATCACGATAATCACGCAATGATTAATCGTACGCTATATAATTATATCTCGATATTTTCCACTGATTTCGTTATGCTCTGTGTACAGAATGTTATTACACATTATGCATTTTATCAATTACATTTTTCATTAACTTCGAAAACACATTTCCAGTCGCTTGCTAATACAAATTTTTCGCGCTTCATAAATTCGCAACTCGATTGCGAAACAATATCCAACACTATCCTCCATTAATGTTTACAATCCAAATCGCATTCTCCACTCTCTTTTAAGCATTTTTTATTAAATGATAAAGTGCGGCGTAGTATAATTATAATATTACTAGACATTACTATGCACATGTCAAGATACGCGATACAAAAAATTGATAAAAAAAAGATATGATATAAATTCCTCATATATGCTTTTTCCAGTATAACTTCTAATTTTTCTTGTATATTTTATCTTAGTCACCTCGTCTTAATTACTTTAGAATCTCGTTAGCCTCTCTTTGACATATTGTGAAATATAATACGCGAAACTCAAGTCTCGATAGAAATATGTTTTTTCCGCCGCTTATTCTACTGGCTCATCTAACTAGAATCAAGATTTCAGCCATTAAATTATTACCATGCTTGATTAGCGGCGCCTCGTTAGGCAACTTCGCTAACAATTATATCTAATGGGAAGAAGATATTACAGGTAACACGAAACATTTTACATTCTCTACAAGATGTTAATAATGATCTCACAAGCACGAAATAAACTGGAACGCGTGTAGTATAAGGATCGAGAAATATTGCACGAGATTGAAATTATCATCGCGATTGCAATTAAATGTGGAGGAGCCTAACATAATCACATAAAGCGCTGAATAATTAAATCTTAGTTGGAATGCGTTCTGTATTCTGCATCCGTTTCTATTCACGCGATCCATAGTTATGATTCCAAAAGGGACATATGCCGCTTCATTCATAATCCGTTCTTAATTTCAAGTTTTTATTGTTTTAAGCAATGCTTTAAGATGTTAATACAATACTAACATCTTTGATTGGCAAAATCAAAATTTAAAATCAAAAAATCCTGGGAAGTAGGAATCAACGCGATAGTTAGTGCGCTAATATTAGGTGTAGTAAAAAGAAATCCATTATGTTTCCATTCAATTTCATGCAAAAATAATGGATTTCTTTTTACTACACCTAATATAATATTAGATATAAATTTATATTGTCTCTTCTGTTAGACAAACATTTTTTTTCATACGCGTTTCAACTTGATTTAAGTCATTCTCAACGAAATACATAAATCAAAATTAAATTATTATCCTGACAATTTGTGCAATTCTAGTACTATCCTGCGATGTTTCCTTGAGTTCTATCTTGATTATTCAATCCAATAAAACATAAAAAGTTTCCACAAGGAAAGACATTACGAATTAACAATAGCGGTCAATGATAAAATTGTATGTACAAGTCGAAACGTGTACGAAAGAAAATGTACATGTCTAACAGAAGAGGCA